GGGGGGGGGGGGGGGGGGGGGGGGTGCATGTCTGTGAGGGATGTGTGTGTAAGGCGGACATGGAGCAGAAGTCGACTGCTGCTGGTGGTGGTGGTGGTGGCGGGGGTGATGCTGATGAGGGTAGCGGCCATCCGACAGGATGGAGAAGCTATGCAAGTGGGATTATTCAGCTGGCCGAGGATGCCATTTCAGTTGCTCGAGGAGCTGGCTTGGAGGACCTCAAGGCGGTGGAGGTGGCCTTTCGCACGCGCCGCCGTGCAGTCCATGGCAGGGCTAGTGGAACTGCTGAGTGGGGCCACGTTTGTGTCGATGAAGGACGCAGCGACAGCATGGAACGGCATCCAGGCGGCCTTCCGGCTTGTCGCGGACGATCTACACAGCCACCTCAAGCAGTGCGAAGGCCACCTGACGCTCCTGTGCAGGAACTTACGGCCAGTGCAGCAGCCCCCCTACCAGTCGGTGCGTGGATACGTCCTGGAGGGGCTCATCCTGTGCCCCATCCGGGAGTGGCTGCATCATCCGGACGACGAGAGCGATATGATGGTGGAGGACGACAAGCCAGCAAGGGACGGTATGCTGTCACACGTCCAGGCGGCTCTCAGGCGCGCGACGAATGAGGCACGGAGGAAGGGGAGCACCCCAATCGGTGGAGATGCAAGTGGCATTGGAGTGATGACGCCGGGCGCCACCACCCTCCTCGCCACCCTCGGCAGCTGCCACGCACTCAGGTACCTGAGTGGGGCGGGGCACAGTGTGCAGTGCATTGAGGGGAAGAGGCGCACATGACCATTGCGTGGTGTGGTAGGTGGTGCAATCGTTCTGTTGAGGCCGTTCTCTTGAGGAGCATCCTCGACACGAGTGGCGAGAGATACACGTCGTCCACATTGCACCATCACTAGGGAGCACCGCCACTTCATGCTCTTTACGGCGATCCACCTACTCGCCACGCTCTACATGCTCACCAGCCGCATCGTCGCCATTAGCCGCAACAAGACAGCAGACACAATGCGGCACCATGGCATACAAATCCTCGACGCCATCTCTGTCCTCATCTCCCACGCGAGCAGACTACTCCACGGCTTCCGGGATGATCCGCCCTTCCCAGACGACGCCGGTCGCCCCGGCCTGTCCCTCTCTCATACCATCGCGGCGTTGGTGCAGGGCCACGCAGCGGCATTGGAGCTGAAGTTCACCCTCGACAGCCACACAGGCAGCCACCAACCACACTTGACGCGGCAGCTGTTTTCGGCTGGCTTTCGGGCAATGGCGTTTGCCCTCCGAGGCCTCAACCACCTTGCTGCCGACCACACGGCTCAGCCACAGGGGATGATGCAGAAGCTGTGGCCGAGGAGGCAAGACAAGCCGAAAAGGATGAGCCTTTTACAACCGGTGAGAGGGATCTTCCCGCCCTCTCGGCGGTGGTTGCGATATGTTATGGCGACGGCCCCCATATCGAGCGCCGATGCCGTGCACCGACACCTGTCGGCCGTCACACGACTCAACTGCAAATGTCCACCATTTTGGGTGAGTGAAGGAGCCGTGACTGACACATACAGGTCAGACATTCAGCTTTGGCAGACAGTGTGTCTGTTTCTGGTGCGTGCAGCTTCACCGTGAGAAGGAGAGGCCCCCGTCCCCATCAATGTACTCATGGCCACGGTCGAAGCCCTCATGCCCTCCGTCCTCGACACAGATGACCTGCCACTGCTGAAGCCCATCACAGCCGTATTCACAGGGCACTCGCCCGCCCCAGCAGAAGAGACCACCGCAGCACTCGCCGCCATCACTAAGATCAGCAACAAGATGAAGGAGGCCACAAACCACACACGACGGGGCGCTGAGGCGATTTGCCCTCCCCATTGTCGCAATTCTAGCTCGGCTGGTCCACCGAGCGAGGGACGCTGCGACGGCCGACCCGTCCGTTGATGCCGCCTCCTGGCGAGGGGTCCTGTGGGTCTTGGCTGGCGTGTGGCGTGTGGCCAACGCTGCCGGCAGCTACGGTGCGCGGGCGGCTGCGTCACTGGAGTGGGGCGGCAGACGATCAGGAGCCTGACGAGGAGTGGCAGGGCGACAAGGAGGCTGCGGGCCGCAAGCGCCCAGGCCCAAGCACCTCAGGGACACCACTGGCAGTGCTGTGGGGGGCCCCGACGCAGCCGTACCACTCTAGCCAAGCCGGCGTGAGCACCGCTACGGCCGGGTGCAATCGCCGTGTGCTCGCGAAAGCTCCACTGATGCGAGCGACGACCGGCAGAGCGGCGGACAGACGGACGGTAGCGGCAGTAAGGACGAGGGGGCTGTGCATCCCTGGCCTCGTCAATGGGCGGTCCGGCGACGGTGGTGCCAACGGCGAGATGCGCACTCCAATGGCATTTGTCCAGCGGTGAGATCTGACGATTAGGAGGGGAGGGTCTGCCCTTTCCCTGCTGACGATTGTTTCTCCGTGTTTGTGTGTTTGTGGAACTACCAACAGGGCTCCAGCTGAGTTGCCGCCCGATGACTGCAAAGAGTCGACACCGAAAATCAAATGGAAGGACCCGCTGATAGGGGTACGTCAGGCAGACTCAGGCAGACTCAGACAAAGGGGAATGATGACACACATACACGTGGTTCCTGTGTCATGTTTGTGGGCCAGGTTCACGAGTACCCTGCCGGGTAGGACTGCTACGACCGGCACGACAGTCTGGAGAAGGAGCTCTTCGAGCAGGCCCTGCCGCTCGACATGATCGATGGCATGCCGCCCACCAACTCACCCAGACGCATCAGCCCACGGTGCGGCACACACACACACACACACACATACACACACACACACGGGCCATGCACAGACCTATCATATGCGTGTATGTGTGTGGATGGGTGTCAGCAGTCACGCCGAGAAGGACAAGGAGGGATTCGCGCTGCGCCGCAACAGCTCGTCGTCCCTCTCAACCACCACTCCCGCCAAGCTCCCAAGAGACAGCACCAACACACAAGAGGAAGGCGGCCAACAGGCAGACCACGGTGACGCAGACGAGGCCGACGCGACGAGGAGGACACGGACTCATCGGAGGACTCGACCGACCGCAGCAAAATCATCTCCATCCTCTCCCGCACCCGCAACTCCATCCAGCTTTCCCCCCCGCTCAGACGCATCTGCCTCAGCGCCCCACGGGCCCTCCACCCCGTCTCGCCGACACTCAAAGCGCGTCAGCGGCAGGGCAGCGGCAGGGGCAACTGTCTGTGATGGGGTTTGGTGCGTTTGTCGAGGACGAGACGTCACCCACAGGCCGGCGGTCGGGGCCTCATGACAGCGACGGCAATGGCGAGGCGAGAGGTCCTCAGATTCCTCCAGGACGGCACTCACTGCCAGATCGACGCTCAGCTGCAAGAAATCAAAGGGTCAGCGACACGCCTACACCCACACCCACAATACACAACACACACACGTCACGGCTTTGTCACACTGATTGACGCAATCAGGCTCTGGGGGCTCCAAGAAAAGACCCTGAAGGACCTGATGAAGATCAAGTCGTCCATGCAGGACAGGACTCGGCGGTTCAATGCATCGTCCAGGCCACCTTCGACCAGTTCGGCAACGAGGCGCCCCAGCTCTTGGGCGCATCCCTCTCCCCCTCCTGGCCCAGCCAGCAGCCACCCAAGCCGGAGCGCCTCTCACCCCGACACCACCCCCAATCAGCCGTCGGCAAAGACAAAGGCAAGGACACGAGCATCCTCTTCCCCCCTCTTGGCAGTGAGACCCCTCACACGCCCATCGGCACCCGCCCCCAGTGGCCGGCGTTGCGCTTAGCTCTGGGGTTGGGGTGGGCAGATGGGCCCCACGAGGGACGTGACGTCAAGGTGGAGAAATCGGAGAAAGCGGCTCCCGTGTTGGTCAAGGAGGCCGTGCAGGAACGAGAGGCGGTGGTCGTTGGCAAGGCCAAGGAAAAGAAGGAGCAGAAGGCAGAGCCGCCCGTCAAGAAAGAGGAGCTCACACAACAGAAGGAGGAGGCACCCAAGAAGACCGAGACAGAGACGGAGACACCGGCGGTGGTGGAACAGCAACAGCACAGCAGGTGCAAGTCCAGCAGGTCCAGCAGATCCAGCAGGTCCAGCAGCAGCAGGAGGTGCAGGGAGAGGCAGTGACAGTGGTGCCCCTGACGCCTCCGACGGCGGTCAAGACCACTGCTGGCGGCAAAAAGGTCCGTGAGCCCGACGCGGAGGCATCCATCCCCAGCCGCTGAAAGACCTCCCCAGCCCTTCCCAAGATGCCCTCGCCCCCAGCACTCGAGGCTCGCGCCTTGACCGCCTACAGGCCCATTCCCAAGCAGGTGCCACGTGGCGGTGTGCTGATGGTGTTGCTGCCGTGAAGAAGGAGGGCGTGTTGAATCGTGCTGCGAGGGAGCAGGAGGGCAAGAAGCCCATAGATTCGTTAATTGACGACACCCCAATGCTACCCCCTTTTTCAAGGTGACGTCAGCGTGGTTTTTCCCCGTGAGTGCGTGGACGAGTGCGTGAGGGCGTTGCAGGCCGACCGTGTGTGTGTGCGTGTTGTCATGCAGACTGACTCCATGAGTGCTATTTGTAAGAGACTAACTCCCACAGTGCTCACGCGGGTCAGGGTACCTACCTGATTTGTGTCTTGTGGTCACCGGCAGGCAGGCAGACAGGCAGGCAGACAGACATCACACAAAGGCCGCGGTTGAGAGTGCCGTGGGGTGACCGGGGCGCACTTTGGCTATGCGTCTATCGAGTGTATGCAGCTGCGCGGTGTTTTTTCAATGTCAGCACGGTGTTTTCTCGATGTGACTATGTTCGCCCTTGACTTCATGGACAAGTGTGTGGTGAGGACGTTGCCAAGGCATCCGTGTGCACGTGGATCGATGGACGAGTGCGTGAGGGCGTTGCAGGCCGACCGTGTGTGTGTGTGCTTGTTGTCATGCAGACTGACTCCATGAGTGCTATACACGTGTGCCGGCATATTTCATTCAAGTACCTACTACCTGATCTACCGGAAGGGGGGCAGGCAGGCAGGCAGATTAGATCAGCTTACACAGCAGCGATTTGGACTGTTGACTGCTGGGTGTGGGCTGGCCAAACTGGCGAGTCTGGTTTATGTATGGTGTGTTAAGCGGTACCTGTGGAGTGGAGATGCAACCATGACTTGTGTGCTCAAAGGGTTGACACGGCTGTTTTTGTTGGTTGGCTCTTTGGACTCGTTGAGCAGGAGGCCTGCAAGTGAGAGGAGAGAGGCAATTGTGACTGGACTTGGCTGCACATATGTGGGGTGGGTAATGTAAAGCATTTGTGTGATTGTGAATGGACGGCCAAAGCGGCTGTGTGGGAGGGACTCACTTGGCTGACTTGGCTGAGTGGATTGATTAGCCTGACCTGTGGTGTTCGTCTGGCCTGGGGTGACTGACTGGCCGGGGAGATCATATCGGGGAGGGACATGGGCAGGGGCAGGGGCATTTGTGTGCAGCACGCACAGCTTGTGTGACTGCTGCGCTGCTCTACTGACTGACCACTGTGTCACCTGGGACAGGGTCCAGACGCTTTCAGACGCGGAGTTCACTTGAGTCAATCGTGTGCATTTAATCAACGCACATCCCTCTGACTGTCCATATTGCGAACCACCATATAAAGCTCATGCATCAGTCTCTTCAGACATGCAACACCGTCAGACCCCTCCATCCATCCATCCCTGCGTAAGTGCACACGCGCACATGGATCACGGGAGACATTCCAAAAGGGACGTCAAGATACAAAATGTAGGCACCGATTGCCTGTCCTCCGCCGTGGCCTCACGGATGGCCACAATGAGGTGGACTGCCTTGACTGACGATCACATGTGCCCGTCTGTCTGTCTGTCTGTATGGCCCCCCTCCCCATCCATTCACCAGACAGACAGCCATTCGAGCACACGCGCACTGGTGCGGGGGTGTCTCTGGCCTCTTGATGTACATGTGGGGGTGCGCGTGGGGCGGCGTCCTGACTTGAGCCGCCAACTGTGGCCTTCGGGCGCCACTGATGGCGAGACCTCCTCCCTCCTCGGATGCCGCCAGTGATCGATGCGAAGGTGGCGCCCGCAGGGAGCGGACCGGCAGTACGTGGTCGACGGCAGGGCGGCAGACGACGCCATGGACGAAAGGGGTGGGTGAGTGGTGGTGTAGGCGCCAATGGATGAAATACGGCTGACAAGAGGATCGCAGGGGAAGGAAGAGAAGACATGAGTGCATCGCTCTCGGCATTCAAAGCCTTCCTTGTTATCCATATGCCTGCCTACCAGCCAGGTTTGCTGCCTGTCTGCTTCTGTCTGCGAGACTTTTTGGCGCTGCGAGGGGTCGGGAAGAGGCCTGAGAGGTTGCGAGGGGTCAAGACGCCAAAGCCGGCCGGGGCCTACAGGAACGAAGAAGCGACCAAGGGAAACAGGGCGGCATGAGAGCGGCTAGCATTGTCCGTGTGTTGTGTGTGGCTGTATGTACCGGCGTGCTAAAATCCCACACCTACACACAAACACATAACGCGCCCAAGTGATTCAGCAGGACATCCAGGGACTTTTCTGACGAGGTATGTTTGCCTACCTTGGGTGGCTGTGGGTTCCTGCTGGTCAGCCGCTTGGGTGGGGTGGGTGACGTGAGCAGGGGCAGCTGTGGCGTGAGAGGGACACGTGGTATCAGCCCTTCACAATATAAAATGTGGACAGCGATTCTCTGGCAGATCGACACACCCGCCGGCCTGCACACAAGCGAAGAAAGGTCAAGTCTGCCTCTCCTGATGTCTGAGGGCCAGCAATGCTCACAAGTGCGCACGCCGCTTGAGATGGAAACCAACCCATCAGAATATAAAACGTAGACAGCGATCCGGAGCAGCTGAAACAGAAAGAGAGACAGCGGCGCTGCACTCATTTCAATGCAGGTATGTAGTTCGCCCGCCTATGACTCACAGCAGCCGTCGCACCGAGGTTGGTGGGTCTCAGAGACATCCCCAAACCCGCCCCAGCGCCGCCAGTCTGTGGAAAGGGATACATGTCGTGTCTGTCTGTCTGTCTGTCTGTCTGCTGGTGCATACCGTGAGGTACTCGACGCGCGTGTCAGGCAGATCGAAGGCCCCCTGAACAACAAGCAGCCAGCAAGCACCCGCACCAACACGCAATCAGTACATAAACGCGTTCATCGCTGTGCAAATCAATCCATGTGTGTGTCTGTGCCGTCCCACCTGGGCTGCTCTAAGTCGCTGGCTGAGCTCGGGGACGCCCTCTCGTCGACCCACGCCGCATTTGGTATTCTGACCTTTGTAGAGGCGATGGATGGGATGTAAGTGCCCGTCAGGATATAAAATGCAGACAGCGGTCTGTACGGTCGTAAGAGCTGAAACAAAGAGAAGAAAAGCATGTCTCTAAGGACAGAATTCAGCAAGCTGCGACGCCGTGTCTCCTCCTCACCATCACTCCTCGTCCGACTCGGTCACAGCACCCCCACCACGACCGTCACGTCGTCCTTCTTGCTCCCCCGACCCGTACTCCGGCTGTAGGCTGCTCGCCCGATGGCCAGTGGTGGATGTGGTGCTGGTGGGGATGGTGCGGCGGGTGGGGTGCCATGGGGAAGCCGACGTGCCTGGTGGTAGTACTGGGCCTGCTGGTGGTAGTAGTGCTGTGCTTGTGTTGTGCTGGATGCTGGTGCTGGTGGGGAGAGGGAAGGTGAGCGATCGGGGTCTGCAGCACGGGGGCGGGGTGGTTGCCGTAAGGGGCAGCTCCAATGGTGCTGGGCCTCTGAGCAACACAGACAGACCAGCACACGGAGAGTGGGGGAGAGAGGATATGGCAATCACCGAAATGAATGGATTGAGAGGGGGATTGAGACGGCATTGAGGTCGTTGTCTGTCGATGTCCTTCCCTCATGGCCTTCCTTGTCTGTCCACCACGGCACGGCCTGCTCTATCTATCAGGCTCAAGGTTGTCGGCACTCACTATCTGAAACCACCTGGTCTATCAACACCATCATCGACAAGCATACAGAGAGAGAGGGGGAATGGAATGATTGCATACGTGCCTTTGATATTCGTGTGCCCGCGTGGTTCCAGCTTACTCACTCACCTGGTGGTTGCTGTCTTTGGTACTTGCTGGCTGGAGCATTTGTCTGAGGCTCTGTGTGGGTGACTTACACCCTGAGAGGCGTGGCGGGGTCACCCAGTCGTCGGGCGAAGATGCTCTCAAGCCCGTCTTCTGCTGCGTGGGGTTGCCCCTCGCACCGAGTGATCCCTTCTCCTTCTTGGTCTTCCGTTTCTGTCGCTGCCGCTGTGCCTCGCGCACCCGCTGGTCTGGGTCGATGCGGGACCACCAAGTGCCGAGCATCCATCTCGAGCAGGAACCCGTCTAGCAACTCCTCCAGCAGGAACAAGGCGCACACGCCAAAATAGTGGAAGCCCACCCAACACATGATCCGGCCGATGCTGCTGCTAACGCTGCTGCTGTCACCCTCGTGTGTGTCGTCGTCCTGCACTCCTACCCACTTATGCACCCCCCCCCCCCCCCCCCCCCCCCCCCCCCCCCCCC